ATGTATATATATACACACACACACACACACACACACACACACACACACACACACTTATATAGACACTAGAGGCCCGATGACCAAAATTTGTGCAAGCATAGGCCCTTGTGGCCCGGCTGCCCCGTCCCCCACCCACTGATCATTCAGGAAGGTCGTTCTGGAAGGTTGTTCTGCTGTCTGATCTAATTAGCATATTAGGTCTTTATTATACAGGAGATATATATATATATCTATATCACTAAACATATCCTCAGGTGAGAAAGTTGGAGAAGGTAACAGATTCCCGCACTCCCCTGAGAGTAAACACTGGAACCCTTTTTACAGGTGGAGTCCTAGGAGTCTTAAGAGTCTTTTATAGGTGACATTACAGGTGGAGAGCCCAGCAAATCCAAGGTTTTATTTGTTCAGCAGTTTAATAATCAATGGAGAATCTTCTGAGTTGGAAGATCAGATTCAGGTCTTGTAAAAAGTTTACTGCCTAAATTCCTCACGGGAAAGTACAGAAGGCCAGAAAGGGCAAGTTAAAGCGGGACAAGGAAGGGAGTATAACTCTGTTTCCATGAGGCCATCCCAACTTCCACCCTGCTTTGCAGGGACTCAAAATGTTAAATATGTGATTAATAAATTGGGCCAGAGGCCTGAGGACCCAATAGTTCTCACATCACAGCCACTGTCATTAATTCTTTGTGGGTAGGTTGGGGTGTGTGTGTGGGGGGGGGGGGACTGGCCTTGAGCAAAAGCAAGCAGTAAAAGCTGTTTAGCTCAGCCATCCCACAGTCTTCCCTTTATTCTAATGTTTCCCTCCCTTCTTGCCACCCCTTCCCAAAACCTTCAAGAAATAATTATAGTCATTAGCAATTTAGGGTGAATAGATGTTATCTCTTCAAAGGATATTTCCATTTTAAACTTATAAAGGTCTCCCAGACTGTTAAAGGAATTTTAAGAATATATTTAAGAATATGTAGCAATTCTTTCCTTTCTAAAATATTAGTCAGATCCTGGTAAAATCAACTTAGTTCCATCCAAAGTTGAGATTCAGCCAGTGCACACTGGTTCTCTCTGTTACTACAGTTTCAGCTTCCTTCTATACCAGGTGGCCAGTCTCAGAGCCCACCTTCACCCTGTCCCAGTGTCACTCTCCAGCTCCTCTCTGGGACCTTCTGGAGCTCCACAGGATCCAGAAACTGAAGGGTCATCCTTGGTACACCTGGGCCTCCCTGGCCCCTGTGTTCCCAGCTGTGCTCAGCATCCAGTCTGACTGGTTACGGGCAGCCATCCTGGTTGTGAAAAGTTTTGAATATCACTCCTGCTTCTACCTCTTTAGATGTACCTTCATTGTTTATCGACTCTCCC